GGTGTTTGTTGAGGGGTCAAAAATGTAAGGTTGGGAGTGTCTGATGCCGGATGGAAGACTGAGGGGCTTGAAGAGCCAGGGAAAACCCCTGCAAGTGCTGAATAGAGCTCATGCAGCCCATGGGAAGGGAAGAGAGAGTGAAGGGAGACAAATGCACCTGTCCTGACATGGGTCAACATGCGAGAAGGCAAGGGAGTGATAGCGTGGAGGGAGCATTCTGAGTCAAGATTAATTATTCAAGGGAGACTTACTTTAATCTGCAAGTAACTAAGTTTTGTTAAATTGAAAATTTTGAATAAAATTTTTAACCTCTCACTGGTTATCACATGCTATAGTTTGACCCCCTAGCTCATTTCTAAGAATAAAATTCGATGCGGGATGTGTGTGTGTGAGTGTATGTGTGATTTCTCTAGTACTCATAATTTAGCAAGATCTTTCCTCATATCCTGATTACCATGTCACTCATTTTGAGGCCCATGGATAAAATGAAATCTTTTGATGTTTCCAGTTTTCCATTTGCTTTCCTTATTCTTAGTTTGAAGGTACAGTTGCCCAGTTACCGAGACTCCTTCCCTGTCTAACATTTCCTTTCTTCTACCCTGATCTACCACCTTGAGTATGGAAATGGTCAAAATCACCATCTTTCTGTTCTTCATCTTGGAACTGAAGGGAAATTAGAGTTCTGAACTACATGAATTCAAACTGATAGACACAGCTAGTATCAGAACTGGCTCTAAGAATTAGGTCTTCAATTGAAAACTAAGTGTAAATTGAATTTTTTACAAATGAAATCACTTAAATTTATGCTAAAGTAGCCTGATGAAAGAACCTAATTGTGAGTTCTTTTGAAAAGTAACAAATTGCCTTGTGAATTGGTTAATCACCATATTTATTCTTCGATTCAGTGAAGTGCTTTTGCTAGGCACTGTGTTAGGTGTTTCATTTATCTTGGGTGAGAATCCATCTTGCTAAATACAGCTTTTGTTTGGACTAAGACATCCTTGAGGCTGTCCTCTGAATGGTGACAGTTGAGTTCCTTCTAAAGTTACCCAGAAAAATAGTGAACATTTGTATTTTAAAGAAGATGGTACTTATCCCTTTCAGTGCTTTAAAATCCCCCACTCATTATTTTGATTTTCATCTGTATTCCAAGTACCCCTCAATTTCTAGAAACTCTGCTAAGGCACCTACTTGACCTTAAATTTGTATGGCTCTTCAAGGGGCACGCTCTCAAAGGGGACACTTTCCACCTGGTATTCTTTCTGTAGGGAGAGTGTGAATGCTGGAAAGGGGCAGCACTTTGGCCAGCCATCAATACCAGCAGGTTGAATTATGATTTTTGAAATGTTAGAAGTTTTTTTTTTAATTTAGTAATTTTTTATGATAATCCTACTATGTGCTGAACACTATTAGATGAGATAGATATGTCTAAGAACAAGACTGTTTCAGAGTTCATGGGCCAATTGTTGCAGACAAACACATACATAATTTAAAAGCACTATTTATTCATCCAAAACCTTTATTGATGTTTTTGTGCATTCAAAGATAAATATTTTACTAGAGGTTATTTATAAGGTGCTTGGTAAAGAGCAACATTCACTTGGCATACAGGATGGGACAGAAATTGGAAAACACTGTTAGCATTGGCTTTTAGGCAAGACAGATATTTACACTGAAATCAGATGGGGAGCAGGATAAAGCATCAGATTCTAAACATAATTGTGGTGTGGAGAGGGAATGCAGATGATGGAGGCAAATAATGCACACCCAAATCTCAGGTTGAGATAAAGTTACGGCTGGAAATTCTAAGGATAAGCAAACAGGAAAGGGAGTTCTGCCTTATCATTATGATGATGATCATGATGATGATCATGATGATGATTAGTGTTGGCTGACTTGAAAGAAACCTTAAATACTACCTTTAGTGGAGCAAGCTTTTGTTACCTCTTATTACCTAATATATACCATTTTGCTTTCCATACAATGCATCTGGACAAGTTGAAGAGAAACTAGAAATTAAGTGTTTCAGAAATGGGTCTGGGTGAGTTTTGGTATTTGTTGCTCTTTTACTCAGCCAGATTCACTTCAGAAACAATTTCTAGTTTCTCTTCAACTTGACCAGATGCATTGTATGGTAAGCATCCATAAGCATGGTGACATTTCCCATTGAGACATTTTGGTTTCTTGATATAGATCTGAATTAGGTTATAGGTCAAAAACTTGATGGTTAATAGGCAGATTCCTGACATCTCAGATTCACTGAAACATTTCTGAGTTTTAATGGAACCAGAGCATGAGTTGGAGATACTCCTACTAACATGAGCAGCCCTGTCTTCTGCCCCCTACCGTTATCTATATTATCTGTATAATCTTAGCACGCTGAGAAAACGCTAGAAAGAAATTAACAATCAGTGTAAACATTAGAGATAACAGAGCATTTCTGTTTTTCTATGTTCTCTTTAGCTCTCACCTTTCTTCCCTGGGTAGCATCTTCTTGGCTACATTGGAACAATTTTCAAGCTATATTGCTTTGTGGTATATCAGTATAAGCCAGTGAAAATATCACCTCGTAATCAGATGTAGCATTTGGCTCCAAGGCTTGATCACATAGTCTGAGAGAAAAGTAATCCACATTGCTTAGAAGAAAGAGCTACAGTTGGGCAAAGGGAGTCTGATGATTGTGGAGAAAATGAAAGAAAAAAGGATAAAATAGGTCCCTAATGGAGATGAAGTGGAGTAAAAATGAGCCTTCATTAGTAAAGGAAAATGAAGAGACAGAATTAGTTGTCTAAAAGAGTGAGCTAAGGGACCAAGTGAGCCAGAAGTGCATGTGCAAAGGGGGACAGGTGACATGTTGGGTGCTCATGTCCCCAGTCTGAATCGGGCAGTGGACAAACGGTGGTTGTTCTTCCTAGTTTGCTATTGCACCTTTCCTGCAGAACTAAACATGGGCCTTCCTCCTTCTCTCCCCCATTACTCTTCCTCCTCTCCTCTACCTCCACTCTTCATCCTGCTTCTTCCCTCTTTCCTTTCACACCTTGTCAGTGTCGCAGTCTTTTTGATTAAAAAAGACATGAAGCTTACTTGCTCTGGTGTTGCTCTACCTATCAGATTTATTGATATACATTTAAATCTTACTTTTATTATATTCCAGAATAAAAGAAGATACTAAATTATGTTGCATATTTGTAGCTATTACATAATTGTGGCATACCATATCAGGCTTTATTACCAATTGGCTGCTTTGCAAGCTATACTACAAGGAGTTTTTAAAAAGTAAGAACTGGTATTATTAACAATTTGTTGCTGAGACGTTTAACATCATCTCAAAACAAACTTTGAATTTCCATTGCAATATTTTATTTAAAGGCGCTTAAGCATCCCTGAGTTTTGTGCAGCTGGTTAATTTGATGCATTTATGGGGGAGGTTCTGTGAATGCTTCATTACAGTGCTTCTCTCCCACTCATGAATGTTGTGCATTTAAATGGCATTTAAAATCTTCTGGTGGACCCGTGGATTGGAGGGTGCTCGGGCTGCTTGCGAATGCCTTTCAGATGGCATCCTCCAAATCACTGGGTAAGGTATGTTTCTGTCTTAAAACACAAGGCCAAAAAATTCTATGTCTGAATGGTTATGTCTCTTCAAAATTAATTTATCCCCCAAGGTGATGGTACCAGGCAAAGGGCTCTTTGGGAGGTTATTAGATCATGAGCATGAAGTCTTTTTATGAAACAGGCCTAGCACAGACCAGGTGCCTTTTCAACCCTGTGAGGCTGAAACAAGGAGATATTTGTCTGTGGGAAAACAGACTCACCGGATGGTAAATCTGCGAGGCCTTGATCTTGGACTTCCAACTTCTGGAATGGTGGTGGAAGAAATGATAACTTATAAGCCACTCAGATTCTGGTATTTGCTTATAGAACCCTGAACAGACTGCAACAACCAGTAAGAAAAATGAAAAATAGATTCTTTCCCAGGAATTTGAGGAATCAAGGAATCCCAGGAATCAAGTGTTTCTTTTTGTGATTATTAGATGACTTTTTAAAATGTATTAATTTATCCCTCATTTCTACTTTTATAGTACTTCATATAGGTCTTATCGTTGAACTTATAATAGTTGTATCCTTTATTTACTTAAAAATAAATTTTAATAGTCCTTTCTTGATGATCTTCGTGAGTTCTTGGGATGAAGGGTAAAGTTTGGTCTCATTATGGTTAAGAGGATAGGAAACAGTCTTTGAGAGATCCCAGGCAACCCTGGTGGCCCTCAGAGTGGCTGTGTGGCTTGGGCACATTGTTAATCTTACACAGAACATCTGTCTTCTGTGCAAAATCAAGCCAGTACCCAATGCTTCTGTGTGGGGTGCACATCCAAGAGGGAATCTGAGCTTCTCATCCCAGAACCTCTCCACAGTTGTTAGAGGAACTGAACTGCATTAAATGGACAATATGATTTATTCGAACACAGACCATTACCAGTTAAATGATTCTAACAACATCAGAATAAATACTGAAAATGAAAAATCTTTTGCCTTGAAATAATGGTTTATCTTGCATTTTAGAAGACTTCCTTGTTATATTATCCTGTAAGAAATTCTCCAGGAAGACTATTTGATCTGTAGTTTCAACCACCTAGCTCAATTTCTGTAACCATACTTTCATTTTTACCAAAATTATATGTCTTTTATAAAATATTTCATGAGTTGTCCTTGTAGCCTAAATATATCAGTTTTTATTAACTCTGAAAAATGCAAGTAGAGGGTATTTTACTGAGGGAAATAGGATTTGATACAGTGAGCTACGAAGCTTTGACATGCTGGCATTGTTGCTCAAGAGAAAATTGACCCTGATGTGATTTCAGCCAGAAGAGACCTCTAGGGGCCCTTCCATCTAGCAGGATTGTGGGCTGTCTGCAGGGGGTATAAAGGTTGCACCATCAGGAAAAGAGAATGCTTTTGAGAATAAGGTGAGCATATTTGCAGACGTGAGCACACTTTTTGGCTTGTTCTTTGTTTTTCATTCTGGCTCAGTAGGTCACTGTTGGCTGCTTGGAAACCCAGCTGTAGAGCTCTCTCACAGGGCAATTTTCACTCAGTGAGTTACTGAGCACTAATGGTAGCTGCTTTTGCTAGTAAGAAAGCATTCTTTCTACAGAATGTCCAGTGAGACACTGGAGGATGGCTGGCCACCGAAGAGGTCGAATCAACCCCTGAGGGGTCACAGCAACGCTACTCGGCAGCCATCAGAAGAAAACTTTGGTTAGTTCCAGATGGTGATTATGCCAGCTAATTTTGTCAATCTGAATGGATTGAGTGACTCTGGGTGAAGTGACTGGATTATAGGGTACTATACTCATTAGTGGATTAATTCATAGATAGTCAGAGTTAAACATGCTGCTAGAAGGTAGGGCCCAGTTGGACAACATGGGTCTCTGGAGATGCACCTTTGGAGGGTATAACTTGTGGTTCTTCCCCTGTGCTCTACTTCCCAGCTCCCTGAAGTGAGAAGCTATCCTCCATCGTGTCCTTCTGCCATGAGTTTCCTTGAAATCAGCTAACCAGAGACTGAAACCTCTGAAACTATGGGCCAAAACAAGCCTCTCCTTTAAATCGTGAGTACTGGGTACTTTGTCTCAGTGATAGAAAAGCTGTACTTGCTTCCTTGGTATGCCACTGGGAGTCATTTAAAAATTATTCCCTTGTTTGCTTACCAGGTCAAGACAGAATTTTTCATAGTGCCTCTTCAGTGATTAGGAGTTACAGATTTTCTTCTGTGAAATTTTCCTGTGGGTTGTGGTTTATTTGGCAGAGATTTGTTTTTCTGTGCCTTTTTTTTTCCTGGCATTTCTTTCACAACTAGTGATCTGTAAGCACTTGTCTGAAAAGTGGCAACCTTTTGTGGTGGAATTTAAATTCATGATTCTTTTTCTCCATTGTTTGAAACAGAACTACATATAAGGTTCATTTGAAAGGCATCTACAATGTTGAGTATTCCTTTCTGAAAGGGTCCAAATTCACCTATTGTGAATGGGTAATTAAAGACCAAATTCTATACAATTTTCAAGTTTATTCATTTAAAAGTCCTAGAAAAGTTCTTAGAACCAGATGCTAGATACCAGGAAGCAAGCCCCCTCTGGGAACCAGAGCCATGCATGGGTCACCACCAGACTGGGAACAGCCAGACCCAAGCCTCCCTTCATGAGTCAATGCCATTTGTGGACTAGGGGGAGAGAGAAGAAGGCCACATCAGGAAGTCTGGGAACTAGCAGCATGTGCAGGCCACCGCCAGACAGGGAACAGCCAGATCCCAGCTCCTTCCGGCCCCCGGGACCTGGCAAAGAAAAAGTACTAATTCCCACCCCGTAAGCGACCTGCTGATCCAGAGAAACACAGGCTGTGATGATTGCTATCGAGGTGAAATGCAGTTAGATACCTGTGGTGATTTGGTGTCTCACTAAGGGTTGCAAGTCTAGGGCCAGTGGTCTGATCATAGATTCAGAGGATAGTGATATGCAATGTGGCATCTAGTGGGAATCTCCTTCTGAGGGTTGTAGCCATTGTTTATTTCCTATGGTCTTATTTTGAAGTCCTATATCATTTCCATTGTTTCATTGGGTTGTGTTTTATTTTCTTTTGTTTTGTTAAATCTGATGGCAGGAGCAGCTATTTCAAAGACAAAGATAGATATATCATGGTAGAAATTTTGAACTTATTATTGGCTTGTTTTGAAGTCTTTTATTGCGTTCATTGTCTTTTTTTATTGTTTCTATTCTTTTCCATTCCATTCTATTGGATTCTATTTGACTTTTACTGTGTCCCAAGTTATCTGCAGCTATTTTGAAGACATCAAAAGGCCTTATGGTAACTACTGTTGATTTTGTAATGTTATGAAGTCCTATATCATTACACTGGTTTGTTTTGATTGGTTTTATTGTTTTATGCTCTTTAAAATTAAAAAAGAATAAAATAAAACCAGACACTAGCAAAAACCAATAAAGAGACAAGAAAGTTTCTATACCAAGGAAAAAACATAAAAGAAACAATGCAAAAGAAAAATAATAAACAATGTGTTGAAAAGACAGGAAGTCTTTCCAGAAAACCAAAGCAAATTATAAAAGGAATTCATTTGCTAAATTTTGAAGAATTTTTATCCTAATAAAAATAGCAACTAAAGAATTAAATCTGCAAGAAGTTAACTAAAACGAAAACTTGTGCATGAGCCCCACCAAACCAGATTATACAGTTGCTTATGTACAACAGAAGCTTCAGGTCTAAGGAGGTCTCAGAGGACCTGGAGATCAGTCCACCACCACAGTCCTTTCTTCCTGCACTCCCAAAATGCCAAGTGCTCTTACAGCTTATTGAAACTTGCTTGGTTGTAAGGGCTTTATTGTGTGTCTGGTATATTCAAAGTATACAAATACAACTAAGCAAAACAAGGGAGAGGAAAAAGGATGGAGAACTTTTTGCTGGGGTTGAAGTTTCAAGGACAGTAAGCCCCAGAAGGGCAGTCTAGAGTCCAGGTTTACCTGTTTCTTACAGAGCATGTTGATGAAATTCCCTTTCCAGGAGTGGGTTTCAGCTCTCTCTAAGCAACCTGCCTACTTCCTCATTAGCTGTTGTTTAATGAATGCAAGTGTAGGCTTGAGAAAGATGCCTTCCTAAGTCACCTGGGGAAGGTTATAAGTAGGTCTTGATGGGCAAGGGCGTCACAGGGTCTCCTGCGTCCTCCTCAGGTTTATTCTCCCATCCTAGTCACACTGTGTCTTGTCCCTAGAGAAGAACTATAATCAATTTCACAGGGGCACTGCTCTCAGTCATTTTGGGGCTCTTTTAGTATTGCTCCAGGATGCAAAGATGTGACGCTGAAGATAAAAATGTTATGGGGAAGCTAAAAAGAAAAAAAAAATAAGAATACAGGAAGAGCTTTTTCTTTCCCAAGCCCTCCCCCAAACCGTTGAATTGCATTCCCATAAAGGAAAATGGGTGAGCTGCCAAACATAGCTTGTTTCTTCATTTGAGGTGAGATTCTCTATGCTTGGGGTTCTAATATGAATTTTTGATTTATAGTTAGCATTTGAAGGATGATTCAAAGAGTTGACTGTACGTGTGTGTTCCCTGGTACTTGATTTTCAAGGATGCATGTGTAGTCAGCAAAGTCTGTGAAGTATCTATTTCTACTCCTGTCTTAAGTGCTTAAGAGCAGAGAGCTGTACAGACAAGGCCAGTGGGGAAAAGCCAACAGTATAGGAACAAGGCAGTGCAACAGAAGTACCAAGTCATCAAAAGAACCAGAAGACACACTGGCTGTCTATAACATGCCAGGATGTTAAAGTGGTGTGCTGGGTTGTGGCTTTTTCTAGGGGAGATGTATGAAGGACAAACACAGGACAGCCAGAAGGAATCAGCAGGGAGACAGGGGCTGTTGCTGATCCCAGGTGGGAACTATTCTGTTGAGCGTGAGGAAAGGAGTCAGGCAGGTTGATTGGGTATGAGCGAGAGGGACACAGGAAATGAGCTCAAGAGGTGGGCAGCAGCCAATCATAAGGGACTCTGTTATAAAACTAGATTTGCAGATGATGATTAATTAAAGCCATAATAAAAATCTTTATCTGGAGCTACCAATATTGGACAAGGATGGCTGTGGACAACATTAGGCCCTTTATGTTCACAACTTCTAATCTTCAGGACATCCGTGGTGGGTATTAGAAAGCTCCTTGTGCAGATGCAGAAACCGATTTTGAATTCAGTTGTCATTCTAAGTCACCTTGCTGTTAAGTAGCAGAGCTGAGATTCAAATATAGGCCTCTTTGACCTGCAGCCTCAGCTGAGCGCTCTGTAGCAAGGCTTTCAGGTCACTGAACAGCTGGCTGAAGGCTGAGTCTCGCTCTTCCCTGGAGATCCTGAGTCAGTAGGTTGGGATGGGGCGCAGAGACGAGTGAATTTTCAGATTCTCCCCATAACATAAAAAGCCAGCCACAATTTATAGCAGAACACTGGTTCACCTTTATTCCAGAAAACTTTAACAATCAAGAAATCACATAGGCAAGCAGGCAAAGAAAGCTTTTAAGTCTGAGAGGAGCCAGCAGTGCTCTGTTCCAATCTGGAGTCAGATGCATCATGGAGGATTCTGCCCTCCTCACTTAATCTGCCACGGCCATCAGATGCTCGATCCAATGATCATTATCCCTCATCTTCTTAAAAGTCTTTTTTCTGTTTTTTGTTTTGTTTTGAGAATTTCCAGGTGATGCAACAGATGCACAGGAGCCGATAAAAGAAATTTCTAATTAATGAGCTACTTTTGTGCAAATATGCATGTGTGAAGCAGTTATAGTGAGATGACAGATTTAAGATTTTCTGCATGGGGTGTCTGTTCATTTTCTCTGGACTATCACATATGGTACTAGGAGAAAAATCTCTAAATAACTGCAGATTCTTAAATAACCTTAAATTTTATATATATATATATATATATATTACAGGTAGATCTTGGGCAATTAGATGCATATTTACATATATGATTTTTACAATTCAATCTCTTATCTTTAATTACTTTGTAAATATGTTATCTCCATTATATAATAGAAAAATAGCCAGAGGTCCTATTAGTGTTTTGCACTGGGTAGAACTAGGCAGCTTCCCTATGGTGATCTATAATCACAGATTTCTTAAAGGATATGAAGGAAGATGCTGAGCAGTGTCAGAAGAGCTTCCTGTAGAGGGACCTTGTAGGAACTTCCTCTATGAGGCGGCTCTGCAATTGTTTGGATGACAGAAACTTGTGGACATGACATGTTTAACTGGTTTAAAGACTTTATTGATGTCCAAGAAGTAAACAAAATGAATAGTTTCCCTTTTCTTCAAAAAATACTTCTGAACATTGGTGTGTAAGACAGTCTTCTAAATGTTGGGGAGGGGACAGATATGAATCACTTATGAATCCTCTCAGTAACAGACAATGGTCTAAGAAGAGAAAAGACAAAATAATCACCTCCTGAGACAGAAGGCCGTGCCCAGAGAAGAGCGATTTTGGTGACAGTTGTTGAGTGTGGAGGCTGGGTCCTGAGGATGCATATCAGTAGACACCCCAGATACCCACATTCAAAGCTGAACTCTTATCTGAGCTTGGTGTCACAGGCCTATAATCCTGGCACTCTGGAAGAGTGAGGCAAGTGCATTGTAATTTAAGTGATTCATCGAGATTCTGTCTCAAAATGAAAAATAAAAAAGTTTTAGGAATAAAAAAAGTACAGAGGCTTGGGGTTCAATTTCCATATCAAAATGAAAGACAGACAGACAGACAGAAAGAACTATTCTGCACTTCCTGCTTCTCTGCAGTCCTCCTGTTACTTTGTGGGAACTCTGTCCTTCTTGTGGCTCAGGCTATAATCTTGCAGTCATCTTTGAATTCTTGTTTTCTCTTACATCCTATTTTCAATCCACCTGCAAACTGTATATGCTATATCTTCCCAAACTGTCCTGGAGAGACTTAGATGGAAAATTACCTTGTACAAACTTTGTATCCCTGGTGAGGGGGCATCTGAATGTGAGCCCCCTGCAGCCTGCATCTTCCATGCTTCTGCCCACGGCCGAGGTGGATGTGGGAATCTATCTTGTATGGTGCAGCTGCCCCAGGAGAGCAGGGTTAGGAAATCAGATACAGGATATAGGTGAGGATCAGATCACAGAGGGGTTTAAATTCCAGTTAGAGTTTGGGTTTTATTCACAAGCCACAGAGATACTTAACAACTTGGGTTGGAAAATGCTGGAATTTAAACTGTACCACAGGGAGGTTCAGCTGACAGAAGGGTGGGAGATGGGAGAAAGGCAGACGCTCTACAGGGTGGTGGCTTTTTCTTCAGGCTGATGGCAAGGCGCTGACACAGTCAGCATTGGGGCTGGAATTGGGCAGCAAGAGTAGGCATTTCAGAGGCTAATTAACATGAAGTAGCAATTTATTGGCTTTGGAGGAAAGAGAAAGATGCAAAGATAATGCCTTTCTCCCACGTTCTTTGACACATACTTTACATACATATATGCACTGAAACTGAAGATCTAAATTTGTGTGTGGGAAGACAGTGATGTCATTAAAGAATTTTATTTTGAGAGGAAATGGGAAGTTTGATTGATGTTCAGTTGCTTTGGGTTATTTTGTTGAAGTTATCAAATCAGGCTTGAAGTGGTAGAGGCTCAAGTTAAAGAGTTAGTAGTCAGTTTACTGTAATATCAACAAGATTTTTGACTACATGATCTGAAATTGCTCCTTCAGCAAACAGAATTGACTACATCTTATACGAATGTTCTTTTAATTGCAGGGTAGGGATTGCAAAGCAGTGAGTGTTGAAAACTGAATGAAGGTAGGAATTAGGTCTAAGACTATTAGCATAAGCAAGATCTATAAAACCCTGTTTAAGAATGGACAATTTCAACAAAGTAAAAATTCATCCACAAGGGATGGAGACCACTAAGAAACTTAATGCATCTTTCTTTCTGCATGAAAAACAAAACAAAACAAAACAAGACAAAACAAAACAAAACAATAAACCTCTTAAGAGTTTATCACCATGGTACTGGACTCATTATTTTTATAGTTGAAATATGGACTAGTTATAGAGTCTAGGAATTCACAGAAGCCAAAAGATTATTTAAAAAGTGAATTGAGGGTGGCAATTCTTCAGAACTGTTTGGAAAAATAAAATACAGTAGAACTATAGCTCCAAGTTTCCACCAGCCTCCCCCAGATAAAGCCCAGGTGACCAAGAAACTATGTCTCAGGGTTTTTTTTTTTTTTTTTTCCTTGTCTTATAATCTTTTCTACCAGTAGAAGAAGAACAAATCTCAGCCTTCTAGTAAAAAATCTAGGAAAGAGAGGCTTGGATGTGAATTCTTCAGGTTCAGTTCTTGATAGGTTAAAAAGGAAACTAAGGGGGCTGGGGATTTAGCTCAGCGGCATAAGCACCTGCCTTGTAAGCAGGCGGTCGTGAGTTTGATCCCCGGTACCGATAAAAAGTTAAGGAAAAAAAAAAAGGTTAAAAAAAAAAAAGGAAACTAAGGAAAATAGCATGACTTTTCTGCCTCAACAGTTCAAGGGCTGATTAAAATATAAGGTGAAATATTTAAATTCTAGAACATATTAGAGTAAAAGACATATTACCATGAACCCTCCTCAAAATACTTTCCCTTGCTTTGAAAACATTTATCCCATTATACTTTTCAGTTCTGAAAGTCTTTGTGTTTTGGTTGCACTGTTGTGGTTTCCTCAACGTTCTGAGCTAATTCAAAGTTTACCTTTCCTGGTTATTGTCCCTTTACAGGAGCCGAAAGTTACATGGTGCCGGATCTGGTGAATAAGGTGAGCGAGGACACACCGTCATGTTTTGATGAGTCTGTCTTTCAGTTGGGTAAATCCTGGCACCAGAACTCATTGTATTTTTAAATCACGCTTCATAAAAATAATTAGGATGGAGAACTTCCAGAAGGTGGCCACAATAATGAGCTAAGTGTGTTTGAAGAGAGAGGGAAAATTTTGAGGGGGACTAATGATAAAGTGTCTTTTACTGTAATGTTTTTTTTTTTTTTAATTTAAACACACCCCATGTTTATTGATCAGCCTTTGTTCATACTCATTTTGTAACCTAGAGGTCAACTTGCCAATAAAATTCTTTGTCTCATCTTTGTAAGCATGAAATTGAATACACTTATGTCAATAATTCTGGTTAATTAAATGATGAAGGACCTGTCTGTGGGACAAACCGAAAAGGAAATCAGGAATCAAGGAAACTTTAGTTGTACAACTTGTAGGTAAGGTCCCTTTGATGACCAGGAACCACTGGTTGACAGTTACAACTGCGGTTCAGAGAGTCACAGAAGCAAATCAACCTCAAATTATTTCAGCAAAGGGATCAGAATAAGAAGTCGCTTCTCTCGAATTCTTAGTTTATGGATGCCAGGCATAGGAGTTGCTTTTTGTGTATAAAATTATACTCACAGCTGGGCATGGAAGCACATGTTCATAATCCCAGCACTCTAGGAGTGCTGAGGAATGAGGCTAGAGGATCACGAGTTTGAGCAACCTGGAGACTTAGCAAAACCTTTTCTCAAACTAAATAATAATAATAAAAATATAAGTGCTTCCGGGTATGGTGGCACACACCTCTAATCCCAGCACTTGGGAGACTGAGGCAGGAGGATCCTTGTAAATTCGAGACCAGCCTGAGCTACAAAGTGAGCTCAAGGTCAGCCTAAACTGCACAGTGAGACCTTGTCTCAAAAAGACAAATAAATAAATAGATAAATAAATAAATAAACAAACAAATAAAAAATTGCTGGGGATATTGCTCAGTGTGAACTCCCTGGGTTCAATCTCCAGCACCAAAAAATACAAAAGAAAACAGAAAGAGAAAACAAAGAAACAAACAATCACAACAAAAACCCCACCATGATTCACTTTTTGGAGTAGGCAGCCACATTCCAAAGAGTTCTCAGCTCTCTGGAAGGGACCTGGATGCTGTGTCTAGTCCTGTGCAGAGGTCCCTGAAGCACTAAGAGCCTTTCTTGGGGCCGATGGTCCCTCCTGGGTTCCTGTGCTCCAGACCTCACTGGACCACCACACACAGTAACCTCCCTTGGGAGGAGCTTTAACTCATCCTGTATGCTTCTGCCTTGTTCAGCACAGACCATGTTTTCTACTCCAACCACTGCTACTCCGGCCAGCCGTAGAGTTTGCCACATCTGTGCTGAAATTTCAAGCTTGTGGCCAAAGATGCTGGAGACCGTACTTGTAGCCTGGCTTCAGGAAAGCTGGGTTGAAGCTCTGTCCCAGCATATTCTGTGCTGAGTCTACCTTGATCAAAGCCCTAGGCCTATGTCCATGGCTTCACTTTACCCCATGCCTGCCCCAGAAGCTCTGGTGTCATCCGCCATCCTGTCCTGCTGGTCTCCTGCCCTCTGGTCTATGTGCCAGGCCAGATGATTGCCGTTCTTAATACTGTAACACCTTCTACTTTTTTCTTGCATTTTAATTGTAATTGATCACTTTAAGGAGTGTTGGTTTGATTTCTTTGCCTCTGCTAGACAGGAATTCCTTCCAAAATGCTGAGACCTCATTGCATGCTTTCTGCAACTTTGTCCTGTTGCTTGCTAGTCATTGTGGCAATATTTTGTTCATTTGTTCTTGTTTTGTAATATTGGAGATTTAGTCCAGTGCCTTGTCACTGAGCTACATTCTCAGTAACTTTTTTTATTTTTCATTTTTACACAGAGTCTCACGAAGTCATGAAATTATCCAGATGGGGTTCAAAATTTAATCCTCTAGCTTTAGCGACACTGATTGTTTGGGACTACAGATGTGGCCCGCCAGGCCTAGCTGAGGTACTATTGTTGGGTGCATGCATGCATGTGTTTTAGAGTCCCCATTTTCCTGAGTTTCTTATGGATCTATGGTATGTTAGGCATCACTAGGAATTCAGATTGAGCAAAATAGACCTTATTTTCACAGACTATATGCTTCTAGTTTTGGGGAAGTGTCATATTTTGCTTTGACTGAGCTTTTGGCTGTGTAAATCTCTGTTGGGAGACCTCCTTCTTTGCAGAAGAAACAGCTGTGGGTGATAGAATAGAAGCTGAGAATGGCTGAGCAAAGACAATCCTTATTCACCAAGGTGGAAATGGGTTTGGAATTACATGAGAAGACTGAGCAAAGGGAAGAAGATAAGTAAGGAACAAGGAATGAAGAGTGCAGTGAGACAGGAGAGAAAGGACAGAAGTCCTTGGAAAGAGCCTGAGGAGCACAGAGTAAGAGAGAAAGCTAGATCTCCAAAACCCTAGAGCACACCTAGTTCTAGTAATCAGGTCCCAGCTGGGAAAGACACATGCACTGTGGGCTTTTAGGTCCCAAGACTGCTCTCTGAAGCCTTCAAAGAGCTCCCAGCCCTAACAAGGAGGACTCATTTGTGGGGAACCTGTGGCCTGTGTGCTGTAGCTGACACACAGAGCCCTCTCCACCAGCACGTGAGCCAAGTTGCCCACACAGCTGAAATCAGCTTATAATTTTTTTTCTAAAGTAGAACTTTAGGTTTAATTGCAGAGTTGGAATTTTGTGATAGATAAATGGATTTGGAGTTGAAGTCTCAGAATTTGGTCTCTGAAAGGTTTGCCATCACTGAACTAGGACCATACCTGCAGATGCATGTACTACAGAATATTTTAGGCAACCCAACGTAACTGCAAATTAATTATAACTAATTACAATTTAATTTGCATTGTGTTTTAAAGCTCCTTGATGGGCTTTGAGCCTCAAAATAATTCCTTAAAAGTGCAGATGAGGTATCCAACAGAAAGAAGGAGATGTGCCCCTGACTGGTGTAACATACTATTCCAGTCTCACCATGTAAAAACCGCAAATAGATTCTTGACACTTGTCTTCTCTAGAGCCCAGAACCCTCAATGGCTCACTCCTGTCTTTTGGAGTGTACTGATCTTTGATCATTGCTAAAAAACCATGCGTTCACTTCAACTTCTGGATGTTTTACTCAATTCTTTGTTTGGGATCCCAAGAATCTAGACCTACGGCAACCCTTAGCAACAGAAGGGTTTAGGAAGATACAGGACCAGGGACAGAGATGAGGCAGCAGAGACCATGGATATCTGGGGAATATGGAGTGGCCAGTGTGGTAAAGGGCACAGGGCAGCAAACTTGAAACCGTGGTGACTTTCAGGAATGGGGTCAGGATGGGGGCATGCTGGTGGAAATAGGAGTTGGGTTGAGATCAGCCTTGCAGACCATCCACAGGCAGTTCCATTGTGCAAGGAGTGGGGAAAGGTGGCTGCTGAGGACACCTGGGCACACGGTCAGTCTGTGTGATGACACAGTGCCCATACCTTTGTCTGGGGTAATCCTGTGATATCTAACTAGAGCAGACATAAAGGGCATGCAGTGGAGCCTGGGGAGGGGGGTACACTTTCAGATGTGTGGGGGAGAGATGGCAGCTGCTGAACCAGGTTGTGCACACAGAGGATGTAGCTGAGGGAGAGAATGCGAAGGACCAGCACTCTGGTCAGACCTATCTAGGTGGCTTCTTTCTTTGGAGTGCCTTCCCCACCCCCCTTCAGATGGCAGACTCAACACATGGAAGCTTGAGCTGATAACCCTGCTTTCTATCCTGATGTGCCTTGCCTCAAGAATGGAACTCCTACTCCCCAATCAATGTCTGTGGGAGCACAGTGTCAAGGCAGGCAAGATGTAGGGCAAACAGGTGGGTGGCTTGCATGGCTTTTGGGTTTTTGGAAAGGGTAATGAAAAATATTTGGAATTAGTGCAAGATGCAAATGGTTTATTTCTAGTGCATATAGCAGAAGAGCAGAGGCTGTTACTAATCATTGATCAATTATTTTTAACTGCAGATAAACATGCTTTCATCTTTAGAGCTCTGTGACTTTGATTTCTTTGGTCTTGGAAGGTTTGTAGGAAAAAAAAAATAAAGAAAAAAAGGAAAAGAGAGGAGAGGAGAGGCAAGATATGATGACCTTAGACCTTAAGTGGCATGCTTAAAGTTTTCACTCTGCTTAACCTGTTGTGAAATAGTGTTTCAACTGAGTCAAGATAATTCTGTGGGAAAATAAAACCAACCAACCAAACAAACAACAATAAAAACCAGAATAGGCAAGTTTTAAAAATATCTATATGAGTTTCCAGTATCTTTCTGATAAAATGAAATGTTCATAGATAAGTGGGAAAATATGAATTTAAAGATGATTTCCAGCTTTTATGAACAAATTGTATTTCTTACTAAAGGTTGAAATGACTCTCAATCTTTAATAACTTCTTTAATGCTGCGTATCCCAAGATGCTTTTCAAAACTGAGATTGCAACCCCGTGGCACATAAATAGGTTAAAGTTTTTTCTACAAGTTTAAATTTAAAGGATGAAAATTGACATTTTCATCTTACAAAAGAAAATGAATTGCAGATCTCCAAAGTAAACACAAACACAATGCAGCCGCCTTGGGATCTGAAAGTGTGCTTGTGAGTGACATTCACAGGCCCTGTAGACTTCTGTTAAGCTTTTAAAGGAAAAAAGTGTCTTTGAAGGCCAAGAAACTTGTAGCACTAAATATTTTAGTGATGATTTACGAACGATGTTAAGAAACGTGCCCTTTCTTTCATAAAATGAAATGCTGACAGTAAAATACGAGGATTTATATGCTAAAATGTTTTGCACGGCAGCTTTTGAGTAATAGATTCATAAATATTTCCCTTTTTAAATTTAAAAGTCAAAATGTTTTAGAAAAAAGAGCCAAATTAAAGGTGCCTCATCAATAAGAAGAGAAGCACTCTGGGTTTGGTTTGACCTTATAGTTTTTGAACATGGAAATACTGCTCTCACAGACAGGTAGGAGGGACCCACTTGGAGCGTCTGTCTCTCATTCTATCCTCTACGCAAGAGGCAGTCAAATATAGAGTGAATAATTAAATTTAAAAAATTGTTACAATAAAAGACATCTTCCCATTAAACTTCTTCAATAGATATACTATGGCTTCAAACATTATTTAGGCCATCATTTTTCTTACTTTCTGAAGCAATTTCTGAAGTCCTCTTTCCTAAATCTCTTTATGAGCTGCGACAAAAATGTGGAATCCAAGTGCCATCCCTGGGAAAGCAGACTCATACAAACCTGGCTATGTTCTCACCCACCTTCTTCGCTAGATCCGACACTGGGGCTCTGGCTCTTCCTCAAAGTCAAAATGACAATGAAAAGTAAAAGTTTTGAATCAATCATGGTTGTAGCCATGACAGTGCCACTCAAAGCACGAATGAAAGAAGACTTCCAGAGCTGTTTCGAAAAGGGGCAGAAACAATGGGGTGGGGATAAGTGTGTCCAAAGCTAGGGGAAATATTTTGAGGAGAATTAATGGCAATGTACCTTTTATTTTGATAGTTTTTAAATTTAACTTCTTCGAATACTACTTTTGCACACATGTACAAGCATGACAACAATACAACACTTTAAAGATTTAAAGTTTGCTTTAAACCATACTTTTCTTCACTTGATCATCTGTTCTTTAGATTATTACTATTATTATTTGACTAATACTATCTTGTGTACCCATAACATTTTATGCACGTGAAAACAATTTAAAACTTGTATTATGTGTGCTGGGCATGAAAAGTGTTAAGAAATTGTGCTTACTTACTGCTTGAAGGAGGATAAAAATGAGGCAAGAGACAAAATGATAGCCCTGGATCTCTGGCAGCGCGCTGGACTCAGTTGCCTGGATACTTTTGTAGCCTGATTTAATTCAGCCCAGATGCTGTGCTGTGAGCTCTTTTTTTCTCTTCTTTCTTCTTCTGGGGCAATGGGTGTTGTTGCTAGGGGTGGGCAGGGGCAGAGAGCGTGAATGAGACAGAAGAAAAGTTGGCCACACAAATACAATACTGGGACAGTGGGCCATCCCTGCTGGGGAGCAGGAGGGGGAAGTTGCTGGGGCCTCACAAAGCCATTCCCGTTTCCATAGAAACCAGTGTTTAGCGCTGAATGAGTAGTTTGACTCGGCAGAACCCCCTTCCTCTTTCTTTTTTAATCTCTGTAGGAGATTCATTGTTTTCTTGTTTTTCTTATTTTAATAAAACTAAAGACTAAGGAGGAGAAAACAGCCCTACCACATGGAGCCCTGTGAACAAGGTGATGGCATGTATTCTGTGCAGCTCTGAATCCGGCTGGATCTCCTCATCTAAGATCTGGTGGCTTTTCTTCCAGACGTGTTCTGACAGCCCTCCCTGAGCTGTGCCCGGCTGGGATTGGCAGTTTAATTTGAATACCAGTGCTGCCTGGGCTGGCTTCCAGGGACAAGGCAGAGCTGTGAGGGCAGGGAGGGTGGGGCACTGGCAGATTCAATAGAGGCCCAGTAGGCTCTCCCATGTCAGGGGCTTCCTGCTTTCCCAGTCCCAGGCCCTTCTCTGCTGGGTTACTGGCTCTGCTGCTTTCTATTCTTCAAGGATTAATGCCTCAGTGCAAGGGGAGAATTTGCAATTAAAAGAAAAATCTCAAAGCCTGGGATTTCTATCTCTTTATCATTTCCCAGTTAAATTCATTAGGATTCTGCTGTAGAGAGAAGTTTAGGGCTTTTGTTGTTGCCCTTGTCAGAGTTTTAAAGTGCTAACAGGATGTTTTTATCTTTTCTAGGAAAAAGACAGGCAACCTTTTGTGCTAATGGAGCCTAGCTAAACAGGGAGGATTTCTAAAAGGAAAGTCGGTTCCCGTAAGTCTCAAACAAAATAATTTGTTAATAAAATGTAAGACAGTTTCCTGTCCAAACTGCTGAACATAAGTTATTGGGTACATTTTTGTATTTGAACATTTTAAAAATCAAAGGTTATTTTTACATCCACAATAAAATGGATTAAATATAAGAAATCTGGGTACGGTGGTATATGCTTGTAATCCCAGCATTTAGGAGGCTGAGACAGGAGGATTAATCCAAGTTCAAGACCAATGTGGGCTACAAAGTGAGCTTTAGACCATCCTGAACTGCACAGTGAGATCCTGTCTCAAAAAGACAAAAACAAACAAAAACCAAAACAATAACAATAAGAATATATGTATATATTAGGTCTGGATCTTTGCATTTTGAAATACTTTTGATCTAGGAGACTAATTGAATGTCCTAGCAGATTAAACCTTGACTTGTCTAGTACAAGTGCCTTGAGAAGTCATCCTCTCTAGTGGGTTGTGTCTTGAAGAAAGATAAAGTCCTGTAGGCTTTCCTTCCCCATAAGCCCATTTTGTTACTCCAGCACCCACCTGTTGCTAGTATTTGTGACTTGAGTGGCTTATACCTGCAGCATCAGGTCGTCTCTGACTTGGGCAGATTAAATTGTTATCATCAATGAATATTTATCAAGTGTTCACAGAAACAGGGTACCTCCCAGGAACAATCAGTGTGATACCAGGAAACACAGATGAAGGGGTTTCATTCTTGAGCGCTGAGGTGTCTTCTGCTACCATGTGTGCACCAATTTTCTTTGTTAAGTGTGTAAAATGTGGCTTCTGATTTCTGTACTGTTATTCTACCATGGCTAACAATATTCTGGCCTTTATTTCAGAAGAAGAGCTCCTCTCGTTTTTTCAGAGCTTAGTTAAAAGAATTTTCCATAAAAACTGATGATAGCACAGACAAGTTCTTATTTCTACACTGTTAATAGTGATTTTACCAAGTGTTGAAGGCATGTCCAAAGGGAAGGAAAAAGTCAGGAAAAACTCCTGTTCAGGGAGTCTTTTCTCTGTTGCCATCACTGATACTGCTTTGTCTGTATCTGGTGACTTCTCTTTGCTCAGTTGATGAAATTCATTGTTTAGTGGAGAAGGAAAATTCAGCCTCGGCATTTAAATCTTTAACTTAACGGCCACACGGAGGCCCAGTATCAGTTTCACCCAGATTTCCGTCCACAGCAGCACCTGAGTCCTGAGCCTCTCTCTACGCAGCAACTTCCCAGTCACGAAAGGGTGCTGAGCAGCTGGAATAGTTCAAACCTCTATCAAATGGGCTCGAATGTAAAGTAAAGGATCCATGGGGCAGAGAGCTTACAGGTGTAATTTTATTTCCTCCAGCTGTGGCCTGTGGGTAGGGATTCTACCTCTGATGGCCTTTAGGGGACACCTTCACCTTCTGGGGGTCTCACTCCTGAACGTTTCACCACCCAAAGCCTCTATGGATAAAGCCAGTATTTTCTGATTTGCATATGTTTATTTTTTTCTGCTCAAGAGATTATAGTGCCTAAAGCACAGGGACAAAGTTTAGTAAAAGAAAGAAAAAAGACCAAAGATTTTTACTTTTCTTAGTAGTGGAATAGTAAGAATAGGCTCTTTTTTGTTTCTGATTTTTCTTATTTTGACTTTTCAGCTTTGCCCATCATATTCACCTTCTTCTGTGTGGTTTGAGGCTGGGTTATATTATTAGCGAATAGGGAGGGCAAAGGAGCAGGAACTGGTCCCTTGCTTTGCTGGGAGTGTCTGTTGGGACCAGCGCAGTTTCCCTGCGTTGCATAAGGCTGCTGTGGGGTTGTTGCTTAGTGTTTCAAGTTATTTAGGCCTTGAGATTGTGCAAACCTTTGGATCCACTTTAGTGTCATTCCACAGCATTATTTCCAACTGCTGCCCAGCGACAGAAGCTCTCCCCAGGGTTTGTTAATGAATATAATTTTACAGCAACAAAAGAAGCTATGAGAACCGAAAATTTAAAGGGAAAAATGACACTTTCTTTCTTTTTTCCAAGTCAGACTTTTTGTAACAGTTGTAACTGTCTAACAGTTGTAACTGTTTTCTCCAGCAGGCAAACATTCACTAGCATCCTGATTTAGTGAATAGATACTTCTTTGAATTACCCATCTATCAAGACATTTGCCTATACACAAGGGCTCAAAATCCTCATTTAGGATTCTTTTCAGCAATAATATCACATATTATGCAATTTAGAAGGATATGTGATTCTTTTAAAGTGTATCAAGCTACAATAATAAGAAATTAATATTACTCTGGTCACAAAAAAATAGGGCTGTATAAATTATGACAGTGCCAGCGATGTAGACCTTGTCATTCAGGCTGTTTTCATCTCTTTTTTTCTCTTGTATTTTTCCTGAACTTTAAAAAATCTTTCCAACTTTTAAAGTGGCTTTTGCACCAAGGAAAAAGAGATCAAAACATGAAAAATGGGAAGTAGTTGGACTTTTTAAACTGGAATTTCTGCAATCTTAAGCAATCAGATTTTGGTAAATACAGACAAAGGGCTGACTTGTTAGGCATGACAGAGATCTTCATTTGTGTGAACTCGCTCCCTGAAATCTGGGAATAAAAGTTTCTGTGCTGGCAAACAGGACACATTAGAGGCGCAGCCCTAACAACAAAAATCTTCACAATTCTACTTCTCTGTCCACAGCAGAGAGTGGATCTAAACCCTGCCTTTCCCACCTCAAGAATGGAGCGATGGCAACTTCATTGCTTGTGCCTAGATTTCTCACATGGCTGTGACATACCTGAGGGTTTTACTAGTGGATGGTGTGAGCTGTGTACCTGTGAAAGCTGAAGCGTGCTCATCAGAGTGTTCATGCCAAAGGTTTACTGGTTTGCTTGTAGAATGTGGGTGGATCATGTGAAAAGATCACATGTGGGTGGATCAGACAGGCCCAGGCTTGCTTCTCCTCAAAGTGCACAAGGGCTGACCAGAGTAACTGGTGCTAATACAGAAATTACTGTCATGTGGATAATCAGAGTGCTATGGAACCTAGGAAAGAAAGATTTTTGGGTTGTTATTGGGCACACTAAAAAACGATGAAATGCCTTTTACTATAAAAGTAAAGTGGGGAGAAAGCAGAAGTCGTATTAGGCTTTAGGAGAGGGAGAAGACAAGGATGCATTGCTTCATCTGTGGTCCTGAGTGATTGTACTCTCTGGTTTCTTCCTTAAAATGATTACATTAATAATTACATTGTTCTTGGTACAAAGATGAACATATTAATATTGCTTTTTAAAGAATTCTCATTGACTCAAAAATTCATTTGAGGTGTATGTTATAAACAAATTGAAATAGTTTACAGGGACTGAAAAATATGGAGGGCCTTATTTTATATATAAAATACCTATAGTATACCTACTTTGGCCCTGGGAGAAGATGCAGAAGAAGAGAAGGATGAAAGATGTGCACAGCAGAGAGTGAAAGAAGACAAGGAAAGAGCCTGTAAAAGAAACAAACCAAGTATGAGGTGAGAGGAGATCACCGAACAAAAGATAACGAAACCACCAAACAAAGGGTAATAACAGCTCATCAAAAATAGAGTAAAAATAAGAAAGTAGAAAATAGGAAAGTGAGACTAGACAGAGAACAGTCACTGAGAACCAAATGCAGTGGCACCCACAAGCTCCTTTCTTGAGCCCTCAGCCTGCAGGGAGAGTGGGAGCATCTGTCTTCCTCATGATTGCTCGGTAGCATGGATACAGCCGGAGCTGGATGGGCAGGAAGGTGAGGCCACCTCAGGGCAGTGACCTCAGTCTAGGAGGTTCTCAGGGGTAGCTCGTCTCATAATGCAGCTGGAAGTAAAGAGCCTGACCCAAAAAGCTTGACTTTGCACATAGACAGAAATAACCTGATCCTTGTACATACAGAGTCCTAACTCAAGCATTAGACAATGGTAGAGCCATGTTAGCAGCAGTATGCTTCCAGTGGAGCATTTACACGGTGGCATTTATCTATAACTCCTTATCTTTTCATATCTTGGATGCTGTTACTTTTATTTTGTTGTTGTTTCCATTGCTTTTCTACACAGAAAGCTGATCTTAGGGAAGCAGAATTTTGTGGCCTTATTCATTTTAGTGTTCACTATAGTCTTGTAAGGATGATGTTACTATTTTCACTTAATAAATCAGGTGCCAGGCCCAGAGTTTATGACTTACCTAAGGTCACACAGTTAATTTTTGAGGACTTGACTCTAGGTGTGTGTGTGTGTGTGTAGTGCATTTGTGTGTAAATTCACACCTGTGTCTGTATGATTAACTGGCACTGCTTTTCTGTTCAGATTAAGCTTAAAAGAGAGAACTGATTTCATGCTGATTAGGGTATTCTTATATACTTTCCCCATTTGTCTCATGCAGTTATTTATGCATTCTGAAATCTGCCCAATATTTTCATCCTCTTTAATGAAATCGCCGAACTCATCATCCATCATCCAGTTGACCCAGCTGACATCTGAAATTCAGAACCAAGAGTAAGTTATTCCTTTGATACTTAGACATAAAATTTGGCATACCAAATGTTTATGTTTATAAAGTTTTTCTAACACAGCTTGGAATTTTCATGTATCTGTTGATGACATGCAAATTGTTTCCCTTAGCATGCAGAAAATCCAAATGTAATTTAGGAAACGTTTCTTAGAAACATCCAAATGTACCAAAGGTTGTCACATTCAATGCATAAACTTGGCAAGTTCTGTTTTTTTTCCATGTAAAATATCATTTCCAAGGAATCTAGTGCTCTGAAAGGATCTTTATGCATTGGGCTTAAGTACAATTTTGTGGAAGTTTGCCTTTGATGAGTTTAAAGCTACAGCCATTGGCTTTGTTCTGTTTTATGTCCGAAGACAGATCCATAACCAGTTGTCATGTGCTTGGTTCAAGTCAGTGAGAAATTTCTGAGAGAGCATGAATAGGTTATTGTTGATTTATTGTCCTACAGAAAAGCAGCTGATTCAGATTCCACCTTACCACAGTGGCTAGTGACTGAGTGGTGGTATTGTTCCAACCTTGTTCTTCTTTTTTGAGTCTAACTTGACTGGGCCACAGGATGTATGATTTAATGTACTATTATTAACATGAACATTCAGTAAATCTTGGCTTCTAACTGTGGCTTTGTTGTTAATTCGCCAAGAAAAGCCAGTAAATTAGTCTAGCTTTTATGTGTTAATGTTTTCTCATGTAAAAAAATGAGCATGATAATAATATGCTGTGAATCTTGCAGAGTTTTTCTAATGCAAGTCCTGTTGATACATTTTCCTGCTTACAGAAAGAAACTGTGTGCTCAGGAATTTTTGAAAAGATACACATCATCTTTATGTCTACCATTTAATGGACAAAGTCTACCAACTTCCTGGTAGTCTATGAACTATCAGCTCTAGGGGCTTTGCATTTTTTTTTTAATCTGCAAAATGGATAAATATTAACTTCGAATTATCAAACTTGGAAATGTATAAGATTGCATTTATTTGGCTAACAAATACTGGCTGAGAACTTAATTGTGTAACTACTAAGTACAAAAAGAAATAAATTACAGTATCCCTGTGTCCCAAAGACTGCATCTAAATGGATATAGATTGGTGATGAGTATGATACACTATATTTTAAACTTATAAGCAGGAGAACTTCTAAACTTGGTACAGTCTTTCTAAGACAGCAGTGTTAGTAAAATGTGGCAGAAGCACAGAAGGAGAAGAATTAATTGTATCTGAGACAGCAGAGCAAGGAGGTGGCGTTTAGAAGTAGTTGAAGGATACACAGATCAAGATCTTTGTAGAAAAAACGAAGAAGAGACAATGAGCATGGGTGGGAGCTCATGGCATGACATGGAGCACAGTGATGTGACACTGAGTGCCATGGCTCCGAGCTTCGTGTCCAGGCACAGCACAGGATGTCTGGAACTGCCGAGTGAGTGAAGTACAGTGAGCTGGGAAGTGAGACAGCTTGGGCCTGCAGAGTGGGCCCAGTGGGCAAAGCGTGTTTATAGTTCCGTCCACATAATGTGGATGAACGCTGGAGCCATCCAAAATTTCAAGTAGGAGACTAGCTTGGTCCAAGGTGCTGTCAGAAATCTGTGCTTGCCAAGGGGCAGTGTTGAAAAGTAATAGTGATGAACCAGGGGACTAGTTTGGAGGCCTTTGTACTCCTCCTGACAGACATACGGTCACCATGATGACATAAGAAAACACTGTCCATAAGACCAAAGGGACTTTTTGGCAGCTAGATGTTGTGTTCTGCCACACACTCCAATGAAACTGTGTCTTTCCTTGTGTAGCACACAGACAACTCTGACTTCCCCATTTCCATGATGTTCTATCACTGGGAAGAGGCAGGAATACCTGGGTGTTATTCTGAGGTCTTGGATACTTAGATTTACCCTAGCGTTCACACAGAGGTGGCTACCTTTGTTGGTGTGTCTGCTATGCTATGCTATGCTATGCTATGCTATGCTATGCTATGCTATGCATAGATATACCTAGTGCTGATTGCAAATTCATGGTGGGCACAGCAAAAGGCCAATTGTGGATGCTTTGTTACACTTAGTTACCTTTTCCTTCTGCTTTTTTATGTTCTTCAGTTTTCTGGACTTTGTAGCTGATTTGTGGTACTAAACAGCTACAACAGCCAAACTCCATTAGCCATTAACTGGCAATGTGGGTTTTCTCTTTCAGAACTGTTTTAACAAATTTCATTTAGGTAAAACTTCCAGAGATTCAGAAACATGAAAAAGAAGGAAAGCAGCTACAGTGGGCTTTCACCTTGCTCTTCCACAGATGTCCAGTGATACTCCAATTGTTGTGATCTGTTTGTCTTATGAGTCTTTAAAGATGTACTGTTTACTTTATGCACTAAAAAGACAGAAAAAACTGTAACTGCGGCTCTTCCTGTCGGTTTATTTTTCATACAAACGGAATCATGTCCTGAGAACCCATTTCCCACTCAAATTTATCTTGATTGTTTTGTTCCCAAAAGTAGTGACCTTTATTGTTAATTATTCTGAAGTGAAGTAACAGCAATAGTTTGTCTCCTGGTGTTACCTTTTTATTTCCTTAAAATTTCCTTTAGGAAATTTTATTGAAAAATTGGAAAATTCTTAAATGAAGTTGGTACACTTTTATTCCCCTGTGTCACATTTAGTTTGTGACAGGTATTTGCTTGGAATGACATTTGCAATTTTATCATTGTTTCAAATTGTAGCTCAAGTAAGTAATAACAAACAGTTTTTTGTACATTCACCTAATTGTTTAATTTTAGTTCTTGATTTTTAATTCTTGATTTTTTTTTTTTTTTTTGTTTCTTTTGAAAGTATCTTTTTTGTGGTGCTAGTGTTGAAAATATTTTTTTTTCCTTGGCCAGGAATCAAACTCAAGATCCAAATATTCTTGATATATAATTATCTTCATTAATTCCTTAGTGCTTAGATTGTTACAGACTGTTTTTTGTATAGTTCATTGTGCCTTTTTTTGGACTGTTTTCTCATTTTTTTGGTCACTGACTGTAGTACATTGATTATGCAAAATCATTTGAGATCTTAAGACATTTATGTTTTATTCTGAATGCCATTGTCAAAATTCACAAAATTCATTTAAATCTTACCTTATGATCAAGTATAAAAAAAGAATCTATCACTTTGGCATGCCCAGAATATTTTGAAAGCTAGAGATTTTTTTCTTCAAACACAAAATATATTCAGGAGTATAATACAGCCATAGAAGCCCAAAGAAATGATAATTGTATCATTGTCACTTATTCTTCTGTTCAACATAATGAAATAAACCCCAGAACAATATGAATAGTGAAAAGTTAAATGAGAGTTTGGAATTTTTGTAGGCTTACTTGTCTTATTTATCATTATTTGGTGATAATTCATCGCAAACTTGCATGATATTGGTGACAGTTGATTAACAATTTTAACAAAATATAACAACAAGATCCTCCTGAGCCAAAAGAATCATTGAATATTGAACCTCAGAGCCCTTAAAAGTGTCTTTCTCAATAGCTCATCTTTCTTTATTCTCATATGCAATATTCAGTAGACTGCACATTTAGTTACATAAAATCTTTAAGAAATTTAAATGCTTTGAAGTTCATATGGCCACACAAGAGATTTATAACTGTGGGGCATAGGAGAAATTTAATTTTGACATGGCAGTGAGGGACAAGAGGGTAAAAGATTGTGGAAACTTGGAGGATGGCATAGGCCAGCATATTGCTTTGGGGTGGGTTTATTGCTTATGGTGTGGGTTTAAATAAAACTTTTATTGTACTAAAATACACATTGCTGTTAATCACCTTCAAAGTATTGTGCTCACTTCAAACACACCTGTCCCATTGCTCTTGCCACTATCTGAAGCAGTTAAGGAAGTCCTCTTTCCTGCGTACCTTTACGTGCTGTCATGAATGACTTGGTGTCCAAAACTGATTAGAAACTTTTACCTTTCATGGTTTTATTGGCTTCAGGGAGAGCCAGAAGTTGTGTGGTCAGGTCCAGCAAATAAGATGGATGAGGACACACTGTGATATTTTAAAAGCCTGAATTTACTTTAGATGGCACTTGGCAGCAGCATTTACCACATTTTTGATCACTTCTCATAACAGCAGGAAGAAAGACCTCCAGAATTGCTTCACAAAATGTTAAGAATAATGAGATAACTGTATGTGAAATGAGGAAGAGGACTTTGAGGGTGATCAATGGCAATGCGTCTTTTACATATTAAAATTTTAAATCCTCACTGTCTTTTTTGATCACTCCTGTACAGCTGTACTATACTGCTGCTGTCTTTCATAGGCCTGTTTTTCATGGTGGTCTCAGGACAGTCTCTGTAGAAACATCTTAACAGTAGTACATGGTTTGTCATGGAAAAGTTATCTGGAAGATAAAGTACTTTTAAAATACGAAATATTTTTGCTTAGGGGGCTTAATAAACACCAAGTGCTTCTTGCAATATCTCTCCTAAACAAATACTAACTTGGGATAAATAGAAATGACTCCAATGTAGAGTCAAGTCTTCTTAAACCAAATTATTTTTGAGTTCAAACAAAGTGCTCTGGAGCTGGAGTCTGGAAGCCTGCTTGAAAACCTGGATCTACCTCTTCTGGCTCCAGGGCCTCTTTGGTCTTTGTGGTGGGCCAGTGCACCCTTGACCAGCTCCCAGGGGCTGTTCACATGTGTTGTCCTCCTCATTCTGCATCCAGGGATCTTGAGCCGCTGGCACATGGGCCAGAGTTGGATCACTAAATCCAGAAGGTAGAGGCAGAAAATCCCATTTTGCTTGAAAGAATCCATGGTTAGGTATTTGCCAGCACACCTCGCTTCTTAGCTAGTATGTAGGGCAGTGTCCTCTTGAAATTTTTATGCTGATTTGATTCTATAAAATAGTTACTTATGTTTTGTTCTTACTTTCCTCTAACTCTATGACATGAACTCCAGAAAATCATTGTCTCCAAGCCCTGCAAGTGGATTGACCAGCTGGGG